GTTTTAGTTTTAGTATAACATTATAATACCATTCATATTTTTGCTTTTTTATCATTTAAAGAAGAAACCAATCCGATGTTTAGTTGACATTTGAGGCTTAATTTCTATAGAAAAGCACTAAAAGTTTTTCAGTTAGTGTTTTCAGCGTGTTTATTTTCATATAAAAATGCGGCATGCAGTTGCATTAAACAGTGGTATAAACATCATTCAATGTAAATTGTGATAATCGTAATTAATAATCGCAATTACAATTTCAAGGGAATAATCGACAATTATGATTTTTGTCATAATCGTGCAGCCCTAATCCAAATGTTGTAATTGTATTAGCTATATTGTCAAGTAACACATGAACGCATGCCAAAATACTGTAGAATTTTATTCAGTGTTGATTCTAAGGACTCTGGGGGTCCAGAAAAAAAAGTTGTTAGAATAATAACTTGGAAAATGTTTTCAGTAAAAAAAAAATATATATATATATTTTTTTTTTTACGTATTCACATATTTATTTATTCATTCATTTTGGAAACAATTATTACCCAAAATTATGGTAAATTTGAGTCTTCATGTCCTTTGCAGAGGACATAAAATAAATCAGTGTTCAATAAATCATGTCCTGCTTTGAAAGCACACTAAAGAGAGGACGTTTGCTAATAATATTTCATTCATTTTCAGTTCACGCTACTGTGTATATGTGCAGGCATGTTTTTCCAATGGATTCTGTGTGCTGCTATATGGACAGTCTCCCTCGTGGTGAACATCATTCTACATAGTCCAAAGTTTTGGCCTCTTGTTATGCTGGGAGGAGCAATCTGGGCTACTGGTAACATCTAATTACTTAATATGTCAATATAATTTGATAATTACTGCTTGACAAAAATAGTAAATACACCAGCAATTATCACATCTATTCTTGAAAGACTTTCTCATTTATATTTACTGAGGATACAGTGTGAAATTCTGTCTGATGTTTGTGTGTTTTTTAGCTCTAGGTAATATAACTGTAGTTCCTATCGTAAAGACTATTGGGCTTGGTCTTGGTCTTCTTATATGGGCTTCATTTAATCTGCTTTTGGGTTGGGCCAGCTCACGGTAAGCAAAATCTCATTTCAGAATCCAGTTATTAGCAGCATAAACACACACACACGGATTCTTGCTGCTGATTTTAGGTTTGGTTTGGTTGGTTTGGTTTTGGTGCTGAGACTGTTTCCAAACCAGTACTGAACTTCTGTGGAGCAGGTCTTTGTTTACTTAGGTAAATGTGCATGCATTCATATTATTATTATTATTATTATTTATTTATTTATTTTTTTTCAGAATGTGATGTTACTTGTAAGTCTCATTATTTTAAAGGGGTCATATGATGCTTTTTTAAAGATCATTATTTTGTGTATTTGGTGTAACAGAATATGTTGACATGCTTTAATGTTCAAAAAACACATTATTTTTCAAATACTGTACATTATTGTAGGTCCTCTATGCCCCGCCTCTCTCAAACGCTTCGTTTTCTACAAAGTCCCTCCTTCCGACAACTTCAGGGATCTTATCTATGCACAATCAGCTTGTAACACTCCAAAGAGAAAGGAAAACTTGAAATCGCATCATATGACCCCTTTAAATAATGTCTGTTCTCTTCTTTTTCCTTCACCCTTTTTATTTCCTTCATTTTTGTATGTTTACAGTGCCATCGTTTTTTTCTTTGTGAAGACTGATGTTCAAAGATCTGCAACATCTGAAGAAACACCATTACTAATAGACCATGTATGTTGACATATTTAAAAAATGTGCTTATAAAATCTCATTTTTTTTCAGAGGGACATGGTGATGGGTTAAAAAAAAAATGAGATGAAAGGAAAAATAAATTTTCAATGCTTTTTTGTCCTGCTGAAAAACTTTGTTTCTTTGTGAAGTTTCTCAGAGGTCTAAATTACTTTTTGCGTTCCCCTGAGAAACTTTGCATTTGCCCATAAAACTGTTCATCAGCGAATGCAAAGTTCCTCAGAACGCAAAATTTTGAGAGCTAACAAAATGTTTCTCAGAGGAACAGAAAAGCATTTAAATATATTTTTTCCATTACCATGTTCCTTTAGAAGCTCTGTACATTCTTGAATATTTCATGTTCGAATATTCCAGAATAATGAATAATATACATTTTATCCGAAGACTGTGAACTCTGACTCTGTGGTAGCAACAGATGATTCCTGGGTGGATGCATTAACACCACGCACCAAACGTCTTGTGTATGTACACATCACACTTACGTGACCCGTTACACACTTTCCTAACACTTTACATACATAATATGTGAATATAGATGAATAATTTAATTCATCATACACCATCAGCATCAATGTTTTACAGTAACACAACATCAAAAAAAATCAACCTTTTTATGAGTAAATGTTTTTGTACTACTAGCATGTAGTATGAACCACAATAAATTCATAATTAAAATATACGAGTATCCGCATACTGTATCTAACAGAAAAATGCATTTTTAAATACGTTTATAAATGTTGCAGTGGAACGTTTCTGGCTGTTGTCGCTGGACTGCTGTACGGAACATCATTTGTTCCAGTTCTGTACATTAAAAACCATGCATCTGATCCAGACAGCCAGTACAGTGGGGCTAGCTAGTTTGGTAAATCGAGATTACCTCATTATAAACATTGGTTGAATTCTTAAATATGAACTATGATGTATTTTCTGTGTTTGTACATAGATCTGGATTACGTCTTTGCACAATATAGTGGAATTTTCCTCACTAGTACAGTGTATTTCGTCCTGTACTGTGCCATCAAAAAAAACAAACCTCAAGTTTTTCCTAAAGCAGTGCTGCCAGGTAACACCATCACTTCAATTTAAAGGAACAGTTCACCCAAAAATTAAAAATTTGCTGGAAAATATACTGACCCTCAGGCCATCCAAGATGTAGATGAGTTTGTTTCTTCATCAGAACAGATTTGGAGAAATGTAGCATTGCATCATTTGCTCACCAATGGATCCTCTGCAGTGAATGGGTGCCGTCAGAATGAGAGTCCAAACAGCTGATAAAAACATCACCGTAATCCACACGACTCCAGTCGTGGTTTGAAGTTAAAAAACATTTTAATGATGGATTTGTTTCTTACAAACATGCAGCTTTTCACTGAACAAGATGTTAACTGATGGACTGGAGTCGTGTGGATTATTGTGATGTTTTTATCAGCTGTTTGGACTCTCGCACCCATTGCACCCATTCACTGCAGAGCATCCATTGGTGAGCAAGTGATGCAATGCTACATTTCTCCAAAGAAACAAACTCATCTACATCTTGAATGGCCTGAGAGTGAGCACATTTTCAGCTATTTTTTTTGGCTGAATACTCCTGTAATTTACATTTCCTTTAGAATTGTTTATCTTTCTTCCACATACCTGTGTATACCTGATCTTGTATAGAATTACATTTTTACCTTGTAGGATTCCTTTCTGGTATCATGTGGGGTGTAGCCACGTGCTGCTGGTTCCTGGCCAACAATTACCTCAGTGCTGTAGTGAGCTTCCCTATTATCACCACAGTGAGTGACAGATCTCAAAAGAATGCATGTCTTTATGTACTTTCCACATATGTTTTCAATAATGTGCATTTGGAAGTCGGGAAGTAATTCCAAGTATGGGTCACCATACTTTGGCCACATGTCACGTCACTTTTTTTTTTTTTGGTTCATTCCAGGTTGCTGGATTGATTGCAGCTCTTTGGGGTGTTATAGTGTTCAAAGAAGTGAAGGTAAACACTTGTGTGTATGAGTTGTGTTCCTGCTGTCTATTGCTTTTACCGTTTTGTATTGAACTCTTCATCTCCTCCTCTCTCTCCCTCAGGGTTGGCGAAATTACATTGTCCTCATCGTTGCTTTCTGTCTTGTTCTATCTGGGGCATTATTGACTGCATTTTCAAAGATTTAACCCTATTTTTAGACAACGGCAAGAAATGTGTAGAAAAAAACTTAGGTTGAGTTAACACTAAGTTTTTCTTTAAAATCACTTCTGCTGTTTTAAATAGTTTGAATACTGCAAATGAAAAAGATTTATCATGCAGCTGAACATACTGAAGTGAAACAATATAGTTTATATCAGGGAGGGATATGGTCCTAAAATAGATAAGATACTTGAAATGTTTTAGCAATATTAGCACAGATGTTATGTTAATGTTATTGGGGACACAATTCACTATATTTGTGTTGTATTTGCAGTAACATACTTTTTTTTTTTTTAAAGTCATGTTTACACTATAATGGACCTCATTTCACTGTATGTTTGCACATGTAATTAATGTTTGTTTATATATATATATATATAGACAATGAAGCCTATTTTAAAACCATTTAAAAAGATTTTGCATGACATTTTTGCATGAGTTTTGCACATTTTACCTTCAAATTCTATTTGTTTTTCTTTAAGTTTTTGTATTTCCAATTATTCCTAATGGTGATTCTCGGTACTGTAGTACAGTATTTTTATTTTACTGTAAATTACATTTAAATACTGCAGTGCAGTGATAATAAATATTTACGTTTTTCATGTTACAGTAGTTTTTTTTTACATTTGTAATGATACTGCATTACAATATTACAGTACAATAAATGTCATGTAAATATATTACAATACAAATAAATGTTGTTAATGTCACCATGCAAAAATGTTCATGGTTTTAAGAGTAGGCTTTGTTTTCTTGTATATAATCTCCAAGTATGTTATGTAACTTCTTTTTTCTTTCTTTTGATTTTGTAATGAAAGTCATGAAATTATAATGTCATTTTGGCGCATTCTTTAGAAGTTTCACCCATTTATTGATCAATGGATTGCTGAAGGGTTTTTATTGTTGCCAAATTGTGTCAGAAGCCTTAGATTGTATTTGTAGATTTGACTTTAACTTTACTAAAAGGGAAATACAATTACAAATGCAAAGTTAATGGATTTGTGGGTAGTTGGAAAATTGAAAACGTTTGCTTGTGTTCATACAGCATGTTATAAAGGGAGAAGATAAAAGCACTGAGTAGAAAAAAAAAAATAATGTAAGGGAGATACAGTGCTGGACTGCCATGCCAGGAGATAAAGGAAGACCAAAGAGAACTTTAAAATTAATCTGAATGTACTAATTTTCAACAAAACATGTTTATTTTAAACTTTACAAAAGGTGTTTTAATAAAATATGAATAATGTGGAAAAAAATATTTTTTTATTCCACTTAATTCTCTCTAACAGAAGCCCTTTCTGGTCACTGCAGCTTTATGAACATCTCTACTTGAAATGTTAAAAATGTGATTAATTTGATGTGATTAATTAATCACATTTCCTACCTAACAAAATGAGTTTTAAGTATGCTTATGATTAATTGTCAAAAACCCTCAAGTTCTTCAAAATGACCTCCTTCTGGCAGACCTACAAGCTCCTAATGAAAGAGAAGTGGAAGTAACGTCTTTTAGCACCTCTTGAAGCACATCATGGATGTACATTACAAAATCATCACTGACAAGAGTCCACAACAAAGGCTTATTGTACAGTTTGCTGGGCAGAGAGAGAGGCCCCTGGAACACAGTCTGAATAGTGTTCTGGATCTCCGTACATGCTTCAGTTTGGCTTCATGGGAGCAGGGAGGTTGGCTGAGGCCTGTTCCAGGAAGGCCAGTGGACCCTGTGGCAGTTCTGTGGGCTTCTTGTGCTGGACGTTGATGTCCTCCAAGACCTGCTGCCAGTGATGGATCTTGGTAAGATGTTTCTGAATCAACATCTCCTTCCTTTGGAGTTCATTCTTCAGTTCTGATGCATCCTGAAACACAGAACAGCATATATGACCCTGTGATATATTTACAGTAGGAAATGTACAAAATATCTTCATGGAACATGTTCTTTACTTAATATCCTAATGATTTTTGGCAAAAAAGAAAAATCTATCATTTTGACCCATACAATGTATTTTTGGCTATTGCTACAAATATACCCCAGCGACTTAAGACTGCTTTTGTGCTCCAGGGTCACATTATATCACAGTATATATAGTTTATACTACAGTATACTGTATGTTTCAAATGTTAGAATGGAACTGCAAATGTTTTAAAAGGTTTATGTAAGTGGTGTTGGTTTAAATAATGTATGGTTGGATTTTAAACAATGCTGCAAAAAATGTAAAAGCAAAAATACGGGGTTACCTCTTTTTCCACCTGTTCTGGTTTCTGTACAGACAGCTGCAGTCTTTTCTGAAGGAAGAAACATTCAGTCTGTCTGGCTACATCCAGAAACTTCTGTATACACTGATCAACCCCTGAAATGCACAACACGCAAAATCATGAAGGCAAGACTTTACAGGTAAAACCATTGTTTGTTTTTTTCAAGCACTGGTCAATTTTGAGATTTCGGGCTATTTCATCTTTATAACGTGTCTTCCTTCAGATTAGTGGAAGGAAAACATCCAAATTACACTTTATCTATTTGTGTCTGTAGACTTTTAGTTACAATACATAACTTAAAAGGCAACTTTCTTAAATTGAGTTTTGTCTCATGTACAGCCAGGAATATCCACTTCAGTAGCATTTTTACACACCAAACATTCCAGGTTCATTGCTATCTATATTAAGGTTTGTTTTTTTACTGAGGAATTTGTTCATATATTATTTGCCTCATTTACATAATATTCTACTCCTAAAAAAATTTTCTGGCTGTTGACAGTCTTTTTTATTTATTTATGGAATTATAAAAAAAATAATAATAAACTGTAAAAACCACTGAATTCATTCATTTTGAACCTAGTATTATCCAATGTTCAGATTTCTGTTCTGGAAATGTATGGAAATTATTGCATATTTAATGAAAGCATGCCTATTTGTATATATAAACATAACATTTCAGCAAACTTGTTATACTATATATATATTTTTTTTTTTTTTTGCTTCATCTGTATACATGTACTAAAAGGGAACTATGGTAATTTAATAGTATTTTTTAAAGCAGCTTGTAGTATAAGGTATATATTTGAATATGGTAATTATTAAATATTTATCAAAGTTCCCTGTTATTACTATCTCATATAATAGCACGGGGATGCAGCCATGTTTATATATAAGTAACAACAGAAGAGAGAGGAGGAAAAAAAAAATTACCAGTCCTAATTTCTTCCTGGTCTGTTCCGTTCACATAATCTTGACTGACAAGAGATGCAAAACACGCCTGTGATAATCAAAAACATTAAAGGACGGATGATTAAAAGACAAACTCTAGAATAACACCACCACTGATTATATAGACTAAAATATTAACTAATAACAACTCCAGTGACAATGTAATGGACATAACTGACACCGTTTCGATCAACAACCAAGCAAACAATTAATTTCTACTGCATGCATAAAACATGTACTTATATAAAATAAGAATACATTCATATTAAATATTAAAAAAAAGGTTGAGAGCGTGTATAATAAGTTGATCTATCTAGAAGCAGTCAATCTTGTACAGAAAACCTATCACTGGCACGTAAGCAGCAGCAGCAGTTTTCTCGATCTCCTCACCTCGAAAGAAGCTTCCAGTTCATCTACTAATGTGTTATTTGTCCCTCTATTACCGGGAGGACCTGTGAGGAGCCCTGGCTGACCTGGACCGCCGGGACCTGTAGGTGCATGAGGTCCAGGAGGCTGCTGACCAGGAAACATTCCGCCCATAGACGCCATTTCTCCACTAACAACAACTCGTCTTCTTCGTGTGCGTCAGAAGACGCGGCAGGCTATTGAAGGTGTAAAGTATCGCCACCTACCGCACAGGACGAGCAACGCAATTCATGTATTCATGCTATTAAAAAAAGAAAAATGTTACAAACAAGCAAATTTCCACCACCGTCATTTCCACTAAATAATGCTACACATCACATTTCTCGCATCACATCACAATCGCATTTCAATTTTCAAGCTCTTCAACATTATTAACCTTCTATGGTATGCATTATGTTCTAACCATGAAATATTTTTTTCAAATAAGTTTTTATTACATGAAATAGCTTCAATCATACAAATCAAAACAGATTAATAAATAAATAAATACTAAGGGAAACGTTGCTATGGCAACGCTGTACCACAATGGAAAATGGTAAAAAAAGAAAGAAAAAAAAGTAGATGATTTTCTTTTCTATTTAAATGCACATTTCTTTTAGAAACAGACAGATTTACTGTAGATACTCGGAACTCATGCAAACCAAAAATAAGTAGATCCCTATCATTTAACCTTCACTGAAGGCTAACTCATCCTTACTCTCGTCACATGGAAGAGCTAACTCTGCACTCTTCAGTAAAATATTGCTGTATTCATTTTCTGAAAAGAAGAAGTAATTTTGTTATTTATACATAAATACAACTACAATAAGCACTTCAAATAAATAAATAACTGCAATCATATTATTGATGCTACTATCTATAAAAAAATCCCCATTACTGCAATTCCACTGTGGTACAGCATTGAATAAAAATATCTAATTTACTTAACAAAGATGGTGCAAAAATCTCCTTTGAAAAGAGATGTATAGAAATGAGGTTAATTTAATAGCATGCAATAATTCATGACATGGATTTTTATATTTTAAGGTTGAAAGGGTAATGTACATAAAAGTTATACATGTAAAATGTCTCCAAGACAGATTGGATAACACAATGAAAAAAGTTGAAATCTGTTTTAATAAAATCAAGTACACTGCCCAAACTTCATATCTGTTACTGATTCTTATTCTGTATCCATAGTGACCTGAAAACCAGACTTTGTATTTCAGCTTCGTGCCATTGCACATTGCTCATTACACACACACACACACACACACGGATGAATAACAGCTCAAAATTCGCTCTTTTCACCTCTCCACTGACTTGGGCCTCTTAAAGAAAACTTGAGCAAAAGAACCAGCAGGCAGATAAAAACTGACAGTCTGCACAAACAAGTCAAAGAGAAAGTTCACTGACATTTAAAAGAGCTTGAGCTCCAGAGCTATACGTCTAATAAAATTGGCAGAAATATCTATAGAGTCTAGTTGTCATTAAGTGTTAGAAGAGTGTTTCAAAGCCTCTTCAGTGACCCGTGGGTTTCCAGTAATCAGAAAATATAGATTTACCAATTTTTTATTTCTACTTCATGTTTAATGTCAAAATGAAAAAGAAAGAAAGAAAATACAATGATAGAAAACATTTTTGGAAGAGCTAGTGAACCTTTGAAGTAGAGTAAATCTCTTCAGTTGTTTTACATCATTACAGTATACAGGTGCATCTCAATGAATTAGAATGTCGTGGAAAAGTTCATTTATTTCAGTAATTCAACTCAAATTGTGAAACTTGTGTATTAAATAAATTCAATGCACACAGACTGAAGTAGTTTAAGTCTTTGGTTCTTTTAATTGTGCCCACACTGCCAAAAGCACCAAAAGTTGGTTAAATGACCATGGTGTTGGTGTGCTTGACTGGCCAGCAAACTCACCAGACCTGAACCCCATAGAGAATCTGTATATAAGGGAATATTGACTTTTATCCATAAACATGCGCTTGAACGCACTTTTATTCACTTATTTCTTCCACCAGGTGGCGCTGCTCTGTTCGGTAAGAGAGATTTCACTGGGTGCATTGGAACTAATTCCACAGCTTTTGTCAGGTAGGTTTATTTTTAAACGCCAAATTCTGAGACCTTAAAGTCTTGGCTACAAAAAGATACCGAACATTTCTACTTTTAGCCTATCGTTCAGAAACTTTAAAAAAAAAAAAAAAAAAATGTACAAAGCAGCTAAAATGTAAAGGTAACTGGATGAATTGTATCGGCTAAACGTTCTCTTAAAATGCATGTGACAAACTGAACTTGCACTGACCTGACGTCTTTGTCTTGAGGACACAATTCAATCTTTCGGTTAAAATCTATCATCTATAGTTGACTCTTGCCTGGGTGTATGCCAGTGTGATTTACTGTGTTCACTTGTTTACCTAACAGCTATTATATGATATTGAAATTTCAGTTTGGAGGACATAATTCACTGTCATTTATGAGTGTTTTGAACTACAGTAGGCTATATGATTGAAACCATCATGTGACATTTTCCTGTGACAACTTGCCCCGGTTTCCCCTATATTTTTCCTATCCACATTTTTCCTGGAGTAAAAATGGGCGCGGCCATTTGTAAATTCTATGGGTCTGGCTTCCAGTCTCATCTGCATCCAGCTATTTTTTAGCTGTACAAAACAGTTCGTTTTGCTGCTTGATATTGAAAATTGGTGTGTCTTATCATATTATTTTAATGTATTATCTTATTTATGAACACACTGGTTTGTAGTGCAAACAGTTTTACCGTTTACTGCACGTTGTTATTTTCCTCGTTATTTACCTATAGTGGTTAATGATCCGGAAGTCTCACCCATAGGCTTACTTCCACGTTGAAGAAAAAGGTGGATACCCAACTAACAGGGAACGTCCTCAGAACTTTAGCTAATAGTCTGGCAAGATTCTCTGAAAGTTCAAAACAAACATTCTTCCAGAAACGTCAGTAGAACGTTGGCTCAAAGTTATCTGGTTTTTAATAGGCCTAACGTTCTGAAGACACACACACACACACAATGTTATTTGTACTTGGTTCTTGAGACTTTTTTTCTGAAATGTATTAACATTAATCGTTTAGTGGACGCCTAAGCGACTTCATCTAACGCCTAACCAGGATTTTTTTTTAAAAACATTAAAGGTGACATAAAATGAAAATCGGACTTTTCCAGGTTTTAAGGGCTATAATCAGGTCCCCGGTGCATCTACCAACCAAGGAAACATGAAAAAGATTAACCCAGTAACTTTGTTTTGGGAAGCCTTTTTCTGCAAGCGTCTGAGAAAACGAGCGCGTGTGATTTCACTCTCTTGGTGAAGTGGCAAAGGGATCTCATTATAATGTTACCGCCCCTTAATCTGTAAGTTTACACCCCACACAGATCTAAAATAAACATGCGATTTATTTCCCAGCTGTTTACCTTCACAGACATAACCGACTGTTTTTGTAACTCGTGTGTGAATGAGAACTTCGTTTAGTACTCGCATGCTGTCTGGTGGCCGCTTTCTGTCCGTGTGCTTCGGATGTGTGCACTCAGAAAACCGTATATCTGAAGTTTAAACTCATATGGTTTAAAACGCATGATTTCAGCGCCATAAACATAAACACAAATCAGAACCAAAACAGATGTTTTTAGCAGGTCCAAGCTGTAATGGCGCAGCTCTATTCTGGAAAAGGGGGCGGGGAGCAGCAGCTAATTAAATTGCATTTAAAGACACAGGCACGAAAAACAGCCCTCTTTGGATTTGAGACTTTAGTCTTTGCAACTTTACAGATCTTCTTTAAGCACCAAGAGCTTGTAACACTCCAAAGAGAAAGGAAACATTGAAATCGCATCATATGACCCCTTTAAAATAAAACATTAAGAAGTCATTCAGAAATAACGTTTTCACTTAACTTGATTTTGGTTAGTATCTATGTCAGCCATTACGCAGCCACTGAAACAACAACTTTAAGTGAACAGAGTTCTTAAAAGTACCATTTATTTATTATTTAACATTGTAACACTTTTTCCACTCTAAAGCACATTTTGTGCAGTCGAAAGGTTCCATGGATGTTAAAGGTTCTTCGTGGAACATTATCTACCAAGAAATACTTTTTATTTTTAAGAGAGCAAAAAGCCTCATATTTATCAAATCTTTAATAAAGACCTATAAATAGTTTTCTGAATTCCAAAAACTAGAGACCCGTTTTCATCAGCTCTTGAATAAGTGTCACGCAATGAGCGCATCACAGCGTCGTGCTGTGAATTGGTGGCGTTTGGTGCTTTCACGCATTCAGACTGATGGAGACTCGCGCGTGAAGCGCCGCAGGTAAGAGTCTGGAACGCGCCGAATCTCTCACTCGATCGTCATTATTTCTGTTTTTCAGTGCGCGAAAATGTCGTGCTATTAGGCTATTTAAAAACAACCAACCACGCAATTCGATTCAGTTTTCCTCTCTATGGTTGATGTTATTCTGTCCGTTAAGATGCGATTCACGTTTTGGTTTCAGGTGAAAACGCAGTGGAATATAGGATACATAGGTTTTGCTTATTTCATAATGCGTTATAAAACAAACTTTACGCGTCCAGACGCGCGATACCGTCCGAGCGCAGCTGGTGGGCAAGAAGAAATGGATCATTAGGTTATGAGGAACGAAGTACCTGCACGACTTTGACCTGTTTACGATACACTCAATGAAAGCACTTAACTCGGGAGTTTGCAAGCTAATAACGCGCAATAATTGATCTTAATGCTCTCGTCGAAACTGTCTCCCGTGGGAACGAGAGTGAGGAGATGCCTCACACGCCTGAATGTTCTCCTTGGCTGGGCTTATCTTTCTCTTTAGGATTTAATGGCACATTTCTGATTGTTGAGAGGAGACATTAAGGTAATGTGTTGGTGAGCTCAAATCAAATCTTTTTTTTTTTGTCTTATCAAAATTGTTTTTCAGCACGAGATACATATTATTGGAGCTGCTGTCTGTGAATTTGTCTTTTATGGTGTTCTATAAATACCCTTGCAGACTGAAAATATCAAAGTTTATTTTCTGTCTTCATTCTAGCCGAAGGATGTCTGGTGCTATGTGTGTTATTAAAGACAGATATGTTTTCATCATTTTTAAATACTGATTTCTACAGTTTTACACTGAAAATGATTTTTGTGCTTCTGAGAATTTTTTTTATCTAAATGTGCATCATTAGGTATTTATAGAGCACTTATACACACATAAGGATCCAGTTTGACTAGAATGCTAAAAAAACAAAACGTATCATTTATTCAGTTTTTCTGTCTCTCCTTCCCAGTCTTTCTCCCTGTCTCTTTTGTCAGTCGATATGTCACTGTGTTCTTCCATCCGTCTCCTTCTTTATCTCAGTGCTTGTCTTTTTGTACAACGTCTCTCCCTCTTTTGGTTCCCATGGCTCCCAGTGACTCTTTTTGTAGACAATTTCATCATTTTTATCATAAAGTCATGTCTATCTTTAAGTCTCAAGTTGGGATGAGAGCAAATCTTGTTGTCAGATGTATGAAACTCATTTAAGCTCCTCAAAAACTCCATTTGAAGGTTTTATATATTCCATTCATATCAGCTTCATTACGCACTCGATCTCTCTGTTTCTTCAATGAGTCTCTCCATGGGGCTCTAGTCCATGACCTAATTATATTGTCATGGCAATGGCATTAAAAGTGTCTGCTGATTCATTGAAAGAGTATAAACGCATTCATTTGATGGTTTATCAGCTGTATTGTTTGGGCTGCCAATAATCACAAGTTTCCAAGTCACTGGAGTGCCATGTAATTCAGGTGTTTCTGTCTCACCCCCATATTGTTACTAAACCTGTATGACTCTATTTGTTTATGTATGAATGCATGTATTTATTTATTTAATATTTTGGTTATAGACAATCAACATATGGTCAATGCTATGACAAATATTACACCCTACTGTTTAATTGTAAGCCTCAGTAATAAATAAACCATACATTCTCTCGTATTCACATATTTTATTTTATTGTTATGATCAATATGGCAAATGCCATCACTGTTTAATGTTCCAGTGGTGCCTCATTAATATGTAAACTGTGAAAATAATTTTTCTTATCTCATTAACATTTAACTTAAATCATTTAGCAGACTGTTTTATTCAAAGTTACTTCCAAAAGAAAAAAATTAAATATCAAAAAGCACTAAAAAGTACAAGTCTTCCAAAAGCATATGATAGTTTTGCGCGAAGAAGAGACCAAAATTAATATATTTATATAACAACAACAATAATAATAATAATTATTATTATTATTCACTCATTTGTCCTCTGGCAGGCATCTCGTTAACTTAAGCTGCAAGTTGATCATTGAGTCAGTGAATTGAACTTAATCTTGAACTCGAACCAGATCAGTCTGATTTCTTAACTGAATCAACTGGTTAATTGAAAAGACCCAACTAATTTGACTAATTAGTCTTTCACTTGGTTTCAGAAAAGTTCAATTTGCATTGACTGCTTATGATACATCAAGATTCTGCATAATTCTCCTTTTGTGTTTCACAGAAAAAAATAACAGTATGCTGTTTTGGAACAACTTAATGGTGAGTAAATAATGACAGAATTTTTAGTTTTATGTGTCCTACCCCTCTACACTAATGTGGACTACTGGCCTACTTAAGACCATTGAGAATGAACTCTGTGACCATCAACAGTACAGTATGAGAAAGAGTGGACACTACACTCTAAAAAAATGTTGGGTTAAATACAACCCAGTGCTGGGTAAAATAGGGACAAACCCAGCAATTCCAATTGCTGGGTTTGTCCCTATTTTACCCAGCACTAGGTTGTATTTAACCCAGCATTTTTTAGAGTGTAGATCAAAGGAAAGGTGGCAAAAGTGAAATGAGACAGATCCTAAAACAAGGCAATGGACCATGTTACATCAAAGATGCATTGTAGTAGACGTAGCCACACCTTTTTTTGGGGGGGGTCTGTATTGTGACATACATCCGAGTATAACAGCTAATGGAAAAAAAAGTAGTGCAGGAACCTTGTTCAATCCATTGGTCGTTATTTGGTTTTTATGATGAAGAAATAATTGGAGATGTCTGATATATGCCACGAGAGACAAAGTTTCACAATTACAAGGTCCAAAAAAAAAAACATGCATGGATGAATTGTTTACATTTCTGATGAATTTCCATTTCGTGTCAAACAGTGTAACTTATCTGAAAGGTTTTATGGCTGTTAACACATAATTTCAAGAGACAAACAGACCTGTCAGATTGTCATTCACTGAACGCTCTGTTCTGTTGAAGCAAAACTACCAAAGTCTTAAACATAACCCAGATATGCTTTATGCATGCATTATTTACCCAAGATACCCGAACAACTAAGCCTTTTGCAACTTTCAAAAAACATCTCTTCTGTGAACATTCGACTCAAACCTGCAAATGCCATAACACCTTTCTTTCACCGTTTCTCTGTTTCATCTCTGTTCTAGTGTGTAGTTCTCACATGATAAGTGTAGGCAGCACTTCTCATGCTTCCACCTCCTTAGGATGAATCACTCCTCATTTGTAAGTCGCTTTGAATAAAAGAGCCTACTAAATGATTAAAGACAAATGTCAGTGCGATAAGAGACTATTATTCAGACAGTTTATGTATTAACGAGGCTCTGCTGGAACATTAAACAGTAGGGCGTAATATTTGTCAATGCATTTCCCATATGTTGTCCATAACAATAAAATAAATCAAACACACCCTTACAATAATGAACTACCTTCACGCATTCCTTGAGTCTTAAGTGACATTGTGTTTTTGAGGGATTTCTCGGTATCTAATAGAACGTCGCTGGAATTCATTAGTCTGCACACCTAATTAGATTTTCTCTTTACAGACATGCAAAGGCAAATGAATGACTCCTGCTCCATCTTGACATTTAAGTGCCTGTTTCAAATGCTGGCGTATTCCCTTTGTAGCCCACTCTACTCTTAAGGTCACTTTGTAGAACAGTCCCGTCGAGGGAATACTGTGCACAGAGCATGTGAACAGCCTGCCTTTTAGCCTCAGTCTATTGGGATTAGCCACCGTCTGCATATCCCATTGCAGTTCATGCGCACGAGACTATTGTACTGTAAGCGTATTGGCCTGCTATGAATAAGAAAGTTTAGTTAGAGATTCACAGCTGGGCTTCTAGTTATGTTTCTGTTGTTTGAATACACATTCGTTCAATTTATTCGCAATAGCTGAATATGCTGAATTATAAACCAGTGAATTTAGAGTTGAATTTGGCTGCTGATAGAGACAGAGGGAGTGGGAGATGAAAGAACCAGAGCCCTAAAAACAGGAAGCTTTGTCACCTCTGTTACCTTGACAACCTGCTTCAGACTCTGATATACAGACATAGGGTTTATGTCTGTGCTTAAGACTTATTTATAATTATGCCATATTTATGATGTGTACTGTATGTTTGTTCATACAGCATATTAAAGAAGTTTGAAGAGAATCAGAAATATGTGAGTCAGGTTGCAAATGGCTTACTAAGTAATGTTTTAACTAATATGTAAACAGGGTTATAGAATATATAATTAGCTTACTATAATTTGTTACATTTATATAGTGCTTTTCTGGGCACTCAAAGCGCTTTACATGGAAGGGGGGAATCTCCTCAACCACCACCAACGTGCAGCATCCACCTGGATGATCAGCCATATTGCGCCAGAACGCCCACCACACACCAGCTTATTGGTGGAGAGGAGACAGAGTGATGAAGCCAATCAGTATATGGGATGATTAGGAGGCCATGATGGTCAGAGGCCAATGGGTGAATTTGGCCAGGATGCTGGGGTTACACCCCTACTCTTTATCGAAGGACATCCTGGTATTTTTAATGACCACAGAGAGTCAGAACCTCGGTTTAACTTTTCATTCGAAGGACGGATAATACCATAAAAACAATAGAAGTCATTGGGGTTACACTTTATTTTAAGGCGATGTTGTTACAGTGTACTTACACAAATAAGTACTGAGTAATATTAATTAACTGCATGTACTTACTGTAGGGTTTGATTTACGATTAGTTGCTTGTAATTTATGGTTATTATCGTAGTAAGTACATGTTTAACTACATCATGTTAAAATAAAGTTTTACTGTCAATGGAAAATGCCTAGACGTGTGTGTGTATGTGTGTGTGTGTGTGTACCCAGTATTCCCTACGTTATGAGGACCAAATGTCCCCACAAGCATAGAATACCAGTAATTGTTTTAATTTTTTTGGTCCCCATGAGGAAACAAGCTTATAAATCATACTGAATTAAGTGTTTTGAAAATCTAAAAATGCCTGAAGTTTTGTGTAAGGGGTAGGTTTAGGGTAAGGAGATAGAAAATACAGTTTGTACAGCATAAAAACCATTATGCCTATGGAATGTCCCCATAATGATAGGAATATGTGTTTGTGTGTGTGTGTGTGTGTGTGTGTGTGTGTGAGAGACAAAATCCAATGGCTTTATTCATATTATAAGCCAGTAGCTCAGTCAGGAGTATTTGATGGCTTAATTTAAAAAAGAATCAAATGCCAAAATCTTAATTAACTTCTCAGTTCCATGCATACCATGCAGGCTTAATTAAATAGCTTTTAGAAAGTGAATTTTTTTTAATATATATATTATTACATCGCCTGTGGAACACTGTTGGATGATTCATAATTATTGCACGAATGTGTATTACTTGCCCTTTCAAAGTGTAAAGTCTTAGGAATAAAGGTCAATAAGGTTAAGGTCAATAGAAAAAGTGATGCTAGAAGATTAAAATAACTATTTATTAAATAAAACTGAAGGGAACATTTATTGATTTTTTTATAACCAGATTGGTCCGTAATCCAACATGACAGTAGAGGTGGTCTTGTCTTTTCTGAGTATTGATTGAAATGTTTTCTTATGTCTCCACAGTGTCTTGTCAGAATTACGAAATTATGGTCCTGGAAAGGAGTGTATGATCACCTGATATAAACCAACACCAACCAGAGGAGGCGGAACAATGCCAGACTCCGCCTTCTCTCCACCCGTTCCACCAATCACTGCTCTGAACTGTTCCTTGGACGTATCGAATTGCTCTTTCGCTAACCTCTCCACAGTCACATATGGCGATGAGTGCTATGGCAGCCACGCTTTGTTTGTTGTAATGGCGGTTGCCTACAGTGCTGTGGTACTGTTGGGTGTCGTTGGCAACCTGGCTCTCATCCTTGTCATCACACGGCAACGGGAACTTCACAACGTCACAAATGTCCTAATCGCAAACCTCTCTGTTTCGGACCTGCTGATGTCCCTAGTGTGTCTGCCGTTCACCTTCATCTACACCTTCATGGACCACTGGGTGTTCGGGGCGGTCATGTGCAAACTCAACAGCCTGGTCCAGTGCTGCTCCGTCTCTGTGTCCATCTTCTCCTTGGTTCTGATCGCCATTGAGAGGCACCAGCTCATCCTACACCCTCGCGGATGGAGGCCCAGCCTGAACCACGCCTGCCTGGGCATCAGCCTCACCTGGGCCCTGGCCGCCCTCACTGCTACACCCTTTCTGTTGTTCTCCAGGGTGACAGACGCCCCGCTGAAGCAGCTGCCCTCAGTGTTTCAGGAGCGGTACAGGGGAAAGGTGGTGTGTGTGGAAGAGTGGCCCTCCAGAGAAATCAAGCTCACCTACACCACTGGCATGCTGGTGCTGCAGTACATCACTCCTCTCACCTTCATCTTCATCTGTTACCTGAAGGTAAGACCAGAGAGACGAGTAAGAAAAGATGGTGACATACCCTTATTGTAGTATACTATTTTAGTTTTTCTGCTTCAAAATTTCATGTTTTACTCAAGGTGTTTCTTGCCATTTCTTTGTAATTGCTTGTGAAGTTTCTATGCCATTTTTTATATAAATCTATAAGTCATGCATGAGTCATGTATATGTACTGTGTATATATATATATATATATATATATATATATATATATATTTATTAGTACCATTCAAAAGTTTGAGGTCATTTTTTTTAGGAAATTAATACTTGTATTCAGCAGCGATGCATTGAATTGTTCAAAAGTGACAATAAAGACTTTTACGTTGTTGAAAAAATCTAATGTTAAATAAATGCTTTGTTTGATTTTTCTGTACATCAAAGAATCCTGAAAATAATGTGTTATGGTTTTCACAAAAATATTAATTAGCACAACTGTTTTCAACATTGATGATAATAAAAATAATAATAATAAAGTTAATTAAAAATCAGCATATTAGAATGATTTCTGAAGGATCATGTGACACTGAAGACTGGAGTAATGATGCTGAAAATCCAGCTTTAATCACAGGAATAAATTACATGAAAATAGAAAACAGTTATTCTAAATGGTAAAAATATTTAATAATATTACTGTTTTTACTGTATTTTTAAATAAATGTAGCCTTGGTTAGCAAAAGAGACTTTTTTTTTTTTCAAACTAAATAAATGAATTAAATTTAAAAATTCTCACCAACCCCAAACTTTTGAACGGTAATGTCTTGTCTGTCTGTCTATATATATATATATATATATACAGAGAGAGAGAGAGATTTATACAGAGAATATTTCAGTAGTATATTTTTCAGTAGTATTCCAAACTTATGCTAATTGCCAATCATCATTGACGATAGTTGTCCTGACAGAAATACATACAGTGGGTACGGAAAGTATTCAGACCCCCTTACATTTTTCACTCTTTGAACGGTAATGTCTTGTCTGTCTGTCTATATATATATATATATATATACAGAGAGAGAGAGAGATTTATACAGAGAATATTTCAGTAGTATATTTTTCAGTAGTATTCCAAACTTATGCTAATTGCCAATCATCATTGACGATAGTTGTCCTGACAGAAATACATATACAGAACATTTAGTAGTTGATTTTAATACAAGTTTTGACCTTGTGCTGACGTGGTTATTCACTGTTCAAATTCACTAATCAGATATGCCACCTATGACGCATACTGGACATCAGCATCATCAGACGTCACTGAGTATCTCTTAACTAAATGTCATGATGTAGAACTCTAGACATCATCATCGGAATCATAGGCAACATATTGTTCTATAGAAAACATTTATGTTACATTTATTTAAAAACCTTTCTATTTTGTTCTCCTCTGAAAATAGAAATACTGGTTTAGTGTGTCTAACTTAAATGATTTTAGCAAATGGCTGCAATATAACAAAGAGTGAAAAATTTAAGGGGGTCTGAATACTTTCCGTACCCACTGTATACAGAACATTTAGTAGTTGATTTTAATACAAGTTTTGACCTTGTGCTGAAGTGGTTATTCACTGTTCAAATTCACTAATCAGATATGCCACCTATGACGCATACTGGACATCAGCATCATCAGACGTCACTGAGTGTCTCTTAACTAAATGTCATGATGTAGAACTCTAGACATCATCATCGGAATCATAGGCAACATATTGTTCTATGGAAAACATTTATGTTACATTTATTTAAAAAACCTTTCTATTTTGTTCTCCTCTGAAAATAATTTCATTGGCTCAAGTTAAAAAATATAGATGTGAATCATTACCCTAAATTTTTTTAATTGGATGAATAAAAAAAAAATTTCAGTGTAAAGCCTTAAGCAAAGAAAGCAAAATAGTCAGTCAGTGTTTGACCTAGTGACTGCTGATGTGAATGGCTGACTTGAGATTGAACTCAACATGAGATTCTGTAAGTCTGACTTTATACTCATTTGTAGTCTGTTAGGTTTTTGGGGGTCAGTTTGCTGTGGATACTTTGAGTTGAAGCTTTATTATTAGATAATATTTAGAAGGCTATTTTAGGAAATAATGGACATGTGTGTTCATCTAGACTGATTATCCTCTATGTAAAGATAACGAGTGGAGGCTGGTCCTAAAAGTCAACTAAAATAAAAACTGACCTATATACCATGCACATTTATGATCTTGTTGTAAACGATTCATTAGCGCATATTAATTAAAAAATGAAAAGTGGTCCGCCGGCCGCACCGTTCTCAAGCCCGCCGCCTCCGCTCACTCTAGGCCTCCAGCCTCTGCTCACTCAAGGACTTTCGTTGTGAAAGCGAAACTACTTTGTTTGGTCTTCCAAAAGAGGACACGACTAGAAATCAGTGGTTAAGTTGTATTTACAACACTGTTCCAGAACAGTTCAACCCAAATATTCAGATGTGAGCAACGCATTTTATGGTGGACTGTTTTCAGTAATTTTGAGCAGTGTAGAGTAACACTTGTTGTTTGTCATTTCGGGTTTTATGTTTACGCGGCGCAGTGCAACGCAACGCGTAAAAAGACAGTATGAGTCATTATAATCCATAATTATGTCCCCACTGGATGCAACAAATGCCTCGTTTATAATTGGTTTTATTGGTTTTGTCTTGTCGCACCAGGACACAGCATCACAGTATGGTGAGGGGCGTAACATTTCCGTCACACGCTTGAGGTATTCGGCCAATCACAACGCACTGGATAGCTGGCCAATCAGAGCACACCTCGCTTTCCAGACCGATGAGCTTTGTAAAAATCGACGCGTTTCAGAAAGGCGGGGCATAGAGGAGAAACAATAATGTACAGTATGTGGAAAATAATGTGTTTTTTTAACCTTAAACCTCATAAACACATTTCATTACACCAAATACACAAACTAATGTTCTTTGTAGCAACATCATATGACCCCTTTAAATCAAAATGAACTCACTGATGTCACTTTGGCCATGTCAGTTTTGGATAATGTTAACCATTGTTTAAAAAGGTTGCCAGCCAACGGCAGAATTTTTGATAGTTTTCATAAAAATGATGGCCCCCAGAATATTTTGTTGTATGAATATCATTTGCTTTAAAAAAAAAAGTTTTTATTCTAGCTTCATGCATTTTTTTAATCAACATTTGAATGTGTGTAAGCTTCATTAAAAAAGCTTTGAACAAATAGTTGAGAAAATCACGTTTTTGTCAAAAGTCTACATCTGGATCAGTTTCAGATTGATGATCAAAACATAGATGGAGTAGATCGCTTCATCAACACCTCCAAAGCTTCACAGTTCTAAACCACTTCGTGAGTCGACATTTCATTCAGTAACATTAGGCAGTTTTGATTTATATGCTGTTGATGGTTGCATTATTCTACATATGCATCTGCTTACATACACGATTCTGCTTCTTCTTCGCTGCTTCACTGTGTTTTGATCCAGACATTCAGTACTCTTTCTGAAGATTGCAATAGCACTTCTTACTATATAACAGTGAAAACACAGAAAGCTGGAAAATTCCATCAAATGTTGGGGAAAGATTTAAAGGTATATTTCCCCCAAAAATGCAAATTACCCCATGATTTACTCACTCTCAAGCTATCCTAGGTGTATATGACTTTCTTCTTGCAGACTAATACAATCGAAGTTATATTAAAAAATGTCCTGGCTCTTCCAAGCTTTATAACGATGACGTTGGATGTAAGCGTAGCGTAAGCTGCAGTGAGAAAGAAGTCATATACACCTAGGATGGCTTGAGGGTCCGTGTACTTTTGCATCCATTCCTTTTTCCTTTTTTAACCAAGACAAACAAAAGGAAAAAACAACGGTTGTTGTAGTTTTAAATGCTATGTTGAAAAACAAAACTGAAATTAGAACCGTATGCTGCGCGAAAAAAGTAAAATATTAGCTTCTTTTCAGATCGTTGTTTAAGACATTTGCACATTTAATACACATTTTCAAAATGCACAAATTAATATAGAAAAAAAATTTGATTTTACACATTTTTATTTGGCCAGATTAGAAGTAGTGCTTCTCCACATTGTTTAGAAACGGTCTGGTTTAGGGTAAATATATAAACATAATATAGAAATATATAAAACTGTTATTTCTTCAGATACATGCAGAATCAAATCACTGAGGGTGTAGCCTTAATGCGTCATATTTTTGTGCTGTCCATTGTTGTAGTCATTACTATCATTGCAGTTTCGAGAGTTCAATGCCGCATTTATATGCGAATGTCAGTCCCGAAACTTTGCGTGTAAGCGGCCACATGGTCCTCTTAGCAGCATGAAAAACAAAACTTTCTGAATTGAAAAATAAAAAAATTCTGAATTGACTGTAGTGAAATCCCAAATGGATAAAATCACTTTTTCTTGTCAAATATCCAGTTTTACTCTGAAGTGCTGTTCATTATGGAAGTATAATGGCAATTTTTGTTGACTTTTTAGGACTAGAGTCACGTTACAGATACAAAACTAGCAGTCTCAGAAATACCATCAAAAACACACACACAAACAAAAAGGCATGTCTTTTCCGCTCTGCTGAATTGTCTATAGATTATTGCTGAGGTTTTTTGTCCTAGAATCGAGTGGCTTTGGACATAGCTCAGTGTATGTTCTGACTGAACATGACCAGCAGCCAACATGACCTGCCACATCAACTCACTGCCAACACAAACCCAGTACTGCTGCTGGTTTTGAAAGAGAAGAGAGAGAGGGTGGGATTGGTCAGAGAATGGCAGAATAAATGAGTAAGAGGGAGATAGAAGATGAGAAGAAAGGGTCTGTGCAAAAACTGATCATTTCAAAATTCAAAAGCCTCTAAGATCACAAGAATGATTCATAATCGCTCCTCCGCAAAGGGTACAAAAATAGTAGTAATAATCAAGAAACAGAGAGATATGCTGCGGTACAAAGGATTCGAAACTTTATGATGTGTAAAGAACAGTGTGAATGGAAAGGAAGATTCATGTGCAAGCTCCCGTTTCCCAGTAATGGGTTTAATATGGAGATTATTATGCTGTAAAAATTCAAATGCGTGTGTGGGGTGACAGAATGAGCATTCTGCTGTCACTATGACGATGGCTCGCTCTTCAGATTGTCAAGTTCTGTTGAGCGTTTGTTGGTGTTCAAGTCAAATGACTGAGTTTTGTCAAGGATGCTTGTCACTTTTACAACCAATTAAGCACGGGCGGTTAGAAATGGAGCAGCACGTACACCCACATGCACACATATCCATATTTGTCTCATTCTTTCTCTTCCTCACTCGTTTTTTTCCTGTCTCTGCTGGCCTCATTTAAAAAAAAAAGTGCTTTTTTGTGGTTTGGGCCAAATTGCTGCAAAGAAAAACAAAAGCACTTTCACACACTTGCTAGTCTGTTTAATTTGTTCAACAGTGGACACATGCATTTCTGACATTTTTTATTAGAGCAATGAAAACATACATCTGAAATGATGTATTTTGCTTGATAACACTCTGTGGTGGAAATGATGGTGATGTAAATCACATTTTGGTGTCTAATTTCATAGCTAGCTTTTCCTGAATACACATAATTAATATTTTCACACTTTTTGCATAATTTGCTAGCTAGCTTGAAATGAACCATAATATATTCACCTCGATATTTACCTTGATTTTTCATGTTTTTGTCATGTCTCATATAATTCATCATCCACTTTCATCTCCTTGGTAAACAAAGTTTACTATCTTTTTACGATGTGGTAAAATAATGCCAAAAAATAAATTTATATAACAAAAAGACAAAGCTGAAGTTGAACTGTAATAATGGGAAATATGGTGTGCTTAGATTTTCACATTATTTAAATCAACACTTATTTTACATCCTATTTAATTCCCATTCAAATTTTTTAATATATTTCAAAATATATAAAAAAAAAATTATATATTTTTTAAATTATATAAAAAACACTGGAAGAACAGGGGAAGAACATATATATATCATTGAGCTTCACTGTTTACAACATAGATTTGGCATATATTTAAAATATATTTTGGTCACAAAATATTCTTTTTTTTTTTTTTTTTTGCTGTATGGAAAAATTCTACGCAATATTTGAAAGCAGAAAATGTGCTGTTTGCTGACAGCGCTGTTAGTAGATTTTGATTTATTTTGTAACAGGCGATCTCAAAATAGCCATGTACCAGCCATTTAATGGCCCTGGCTAATATTTCGGTCAATCACTACCACGGAAGCATTTATATTCAGTTGGATCCTTAGGTGCTACTGTCATCCAACCATCCCACGGTCCAATACTTCAGAATGTGATGCCAACAAAGATTCTGGTTGTCCGGTCAGGGTAGCAACTGTGGGATTGCATCAGATCAGTCTCTCTCTCTCTCTGTATAGCCAACGACTTTATGAGTCCTAATGACTGAGGGACTTCTTTTGTTCAGCTGTCAGTAAAATCGACCTAGAATCACATTTAATCAGCCCACTAAACAAAGCCAGCTCTCCATGGAAATAATTCTGATATGGAGACAAACCTACAAATTACATACCACACTGTATACAAATTCACTCTTTCAGTCTGGTTAATGCTGGCTTTCAAATGTGAGCTGAAGTTAATAATAAGTTATGAACACATGCATCTCAGTCTGTGTATTCATTCTCTCTCTCTCTGCCTCTGGGTTTTGTGTCATGCAGTTATTTCAGGTCACAGGACTCTGTGCCACGGCTGCCATTCATCAAATAAAGAGAGAACGAAAATCAGAGGAAAGGAGAGCTAGAAATAAAGAGGAGAGAACAGGAGTCTGGAGTCAGTTGTGCTTGCAAGACTCTGATCTGTTTAATGATTCATTCATTCATCTTGTCGTGCTAATAAGGCATGCGTATGCACATGCACTGGGCGGAGCTCGTACAGATGTTCTGTTCTAGTGGACAGACAAGTCTTTTGACAACAGCACAGCTCTGTCCCATAGCTATAAACTCACAACTAACCATCAATGCCACTGCGCAAATTATGACATTATTTTTTGTTTCTATAGAACATTTTGAGGGAAATGTTGAAATGTGGTTTATCTAAGTTGCGTTTTGGAGCCGAATGTATTGTAAAGACTAACATTTTATGGTATGTTTAATATGATATGTATTTATGTTGTATCAGTGTTCTATAATGAGCTTAACAAAAACTGCTTGGTTTTACTTTGCGCTTACTGGAACATTTGAAAAATTCTGTAACAATGTGAATATATCAGTGTTATTTTAGTATTATTAACTAAATACTGTTATATATTCATATTTGAAATGAGCTTTTATTTTTAATATTTAATGCATTTTATTTATTAAATTATTAAATTATTTTATTACATTAAAAATACATTTAATAAATATTTCTAATGCATTTATTTAATTAATTAATTTATTTCAGTTAATTTTAGTACTTCAACTTAAATCTGTTTATTCCAGTTAGTTTCCAAGGCAACATTAATAATTTTATTTTTGTATTATTATTTTAAAGTTTTTTATTTATTTATTCAGATATTTATATTTTATTTTATTTCAGCTTAATTCAAATCAAATTAATTTTTTTAATTTTTTAAATAGCTTTAGGTTTAGTTAACAATAACAACACTGAAATAAATAAATAAATAAACAAACAAACAGTGTATGTAACAAACAAACAACAATGTAGCACAGGGCCCCTGGATGCTCAAAAACATCTGGCATGATATATTATGATTTGAAAACATCAAAATACAATTAAATATGTTTTTTACATTTGAATGTTGCTTGAAAAAAAAAATGTAGTTAGAAAAGTTTTGAATGGTTGTCATTGGAGAAAGATGCTCTTTATAAAGCCAGATATAATTCCAATATCTACCAGTAGGAGCTAAAAAGTCCATGCAAACCAGCAATACCTTGACTCTTTCTTTTTACCTGTCTTCTGTTTGTTGTTAGAGTGGAATAAGAGAAATCTTCATGCATTCGCCTTGATTTGTTTTTGGCAAGTTCAGTGCTTACTGAGGCACATTAACATTCGGTGACAACAAAGTGATGCTGTAACACCATTATTTAGCTTGCAACATTGTGTTTGTGGCCCTTAAAGAGGGTTCTGTTTGTATTCCCTCTGTCGGTTTGTGTTGACTCAATAATATAAAAGACACAGAGCCTGAAAACACAAACACACAAAGATCATCGCCTGAAATGTCAGAGCAGCTTTTCCCCCACTGTGCTCTTAATGATGGTGTGCCCTCAGGTCAGCTATAGTTATGAGCTTCGGCGAGCGTGTTATAAGGTGGTGTACTGTGCTTCTTGGTGGAGGGTGTTGATTTTAGACTGCAAATCTAAAACTAAAACTATTGTTTTACTCTTTTCCAAGACCTAGACATTCAGTTATAAACTATGCAAATTCATCAAAAAATATTAATTAGTACATGTTTAAAACTATGATACTTTAAACAGAAAGTGAAATAAACAAACCATTTCAATATTTCATGTTCATGAACTTTTTTAACCATAATTAAAAACAAAAAAACAATTGTGTATATTTGTACACAGGAATGTGTCAGTTAGTCAATGATAGTTTAATTGAAGGTTGTTATTTGGAGTAGTGTTTTATTCTTCTATTTTATTGTTATGTTTTTTAGTGTTATGTTGTAGCGCCTTGAGTGTAAGAAAGGCTCACTATAAATTAAATGTATTATTATTATTATTAATCAGTGTACGTCTGCACTGATGCATAATGTGATTGCAGTGAGACTAAACGGATAAACATCATGCTCTTTTCCATCGTCGTGGCATTTGTGGTTTGCTGGCTCCCGTTGAACGTCTTTAACGCCGTCATCGACTGGAACCATGAAGTGGCTATGAACTGTACCCACAATCTCCTGTTCTCGCTGTGTCACTTGACTGCAATGTGCTCGGTCTGCATAAACCCAGTGTTCTACGGCTTCCTAAACCACAACTTCCAGCGGGACCTCCGGGCTTTCCGACTCTGCAAGATTGTGTCAGTACGGGAAAATGAATATGACATGGTTGCCATGTCCACTATTCACACGGACGTGTCCAAGATGTCACTGAAAAATAGTAGCATAGATTTCTAGTAAGTGACACTCGTGTCTGTTCTGAAAAATGCACTTAAGAAAACATCTCTTTAGATTTAGATCTAAAAGAAAAGTGTGCATTTACAGTAAAAGTGATTGTTAGTAAACATAACGATTGATGTCATCAGAATCAGAATCAGAATGAGCTTGCTGATCGTACGGGTGCTGGATGTGTATTTTCCCAGCCTCACTAGCTGTCATGCTGCTCATGACTTATGCTTCAAGAAAGCAACTAATTTCAAGCTCTGTATTATAGTATAATTGTAACATTGTACATTCAAAATGAAGCGATGATGTTGAATAGCTTTCTTCCAATGTCCCGCATCAGTGAGGGCTCATTGGGGCCAAGTGAAAGTCTGAAGACATTGTACACAAATCGTATGACGTTCAGACGAGTGGACTGAGCTTTGATCACTAAGATGAAATCTTCCCACTGCGTGTTTGACTTGGAGTGAAGAAAGAAAAAAATGAAAATTAATGCAAAGCCCAAGATGGATTTACAGTAAATAATGAATGTCAGATGTGACTTTTAAGAGAGACACCAAACTGTTTCTGACCTGGAATAATTAATTTTTTTGGCTTCTGAATGTTGGAACTAAAACTAAATAGATTTTTTTCTTAGTTATCCCTTGACAAACCAAGCCTGCAGAAAAGCCGTTTTTGTTTTTTGAGGCATTTACACAGACAGCAATTTGCAGCAACAAATTGACCTGACATTGTTCATTTTCAAAGAGACTTGGCAATTTCTGACATCACGAGTGACAGCGACTGTTGGTGATGTGACAAAGCTGAGCAGAGCGCCACGGCAACCTTCAGCCATTTAAATGCTATCAGTGTGAACAAGGCTGTTGTCCTGTTGCTCACAGTGATTTATTTTAAACCGGGGTGTCCGGTCCTGCTCCTGGAAGGCCAATGTCCTGCAGAGTTTAGCTCCATAATAATTAAACCATATTTAAAGCACACCAGAACTAGTTGAACAAGGTCTTCTGGGGTGCAAGAAATTTCCAGGCAGGATTGGGTAACCCTTCTTTACATAGTTTTTGTTTTTTGTTTTGTTTTGTTTTGTGCTTTTTTTGTTTTGTTTTGTTAGTCTAAACAATCCACATTATACACAAACAAACAAATAGGAATGTGTCAGTAGTTTAATCAATGTACATCTTCATTGATACATAATGATTGTAATTGAATCTTTGCTATTTCTAATTTGATAATGATATTAATTACTTTATTACAGGTTATGTGTGAGGTACTAATGCTTATTGACAGATTTTCAGTATATATTTTTTATTTATTCCTTCATAATTAGAAGAAGAAATATAATGCCTTCACTATTTGTTTTATGGTTACTGTGGTCATTGAAGTTTTAGTTTTTAGACTACCATGTAGTAGCAAGTGTAGTAGCAAAAATAGTTTATGATACAGTAATGTCAGGATTTGATTAAAATATTTTTGATGATTTACCCTCAGAAATTACACAATGATAAATAGAGGGCCATTGAAGTGGTTATCAAGCTCCTCTATCACCGAACAGTTGTTGGGATTTTGCCAACATCAGTGATTGATCCCTTCTAAATTACCACAACAGAAAACAGTCCCAGATTACAAAGCGATGCAATTATAGAGCTTTGCTATGGCATGTTTATGTTTGTGCGTAGTAGGTCACTGTGCTTTTTGTGTACAGAATGTACCATATACTGTATATATGATGACATTTTCATTTTTCTGAAGGTATTTTTTATTCTTTTTGGATTTCAGATTTCTATTTTTCCATGTTTGTTCAGACTTTAGACCTTTTTTTTCTCTCAAAAAGTCCATTGCATGTTCTAAGTACAGAGTGCAATATTGAAAACACGTTTTAAACAATACTGTATATCCTGATCTGAATTCATTCAAACAGTTGAATTACTTTTGTCCACCCTGAAAAAGACATTTTGATTTTCATGTAGACATTTCAAAAAGAGGGCTCAAGTCACAGTTTATTGTCATAAGCCAAGTCAAGTCACAGTTGATTGTCACGAGGCAAGTCAAGTCACAGTTGATCGTCACGAGTCTAGTCAAGTAACCGTTGATCTTCCTGAGTCTAGTCAAGTAACAGTTGATCTTCATGAGTCTAGTCACGGACTACATATCCCATCATCCACTGCACTGATGACACACACAGTTGATGGCACACAGCACTGATTGCACACAGCTGTAATCAATCACTCATCCCCTATTTAACACTCACTCTGTTCCCTTCCCACTGCCGAGTATTGTATGCGCATATCGCTAGTTGTGTTAGCTACGTTACGGAGCCTGCTTTAGTTTCTTAGCCTAGTCTTGCCTTGCCTTGCCTTGTCTGTTTTCTCGGTTTCTGATCTTTGCCTGTGTACCTGGATTTATCCCTCTAGTCTCGCCCTTTTGATTATGTTCACCGATCGTTGACCTGCGCTAGCCCTAGGATTATTCTTGTGTCTTGCCCGCCATATACCTGTTTGCCATTGTTTGACCCATGCCTGTTATGACCACGTCTCTTAAATAAAAGCATGCAGATGGATCCGCACGTCTCACGTCTCTGTTGTCCTGTAACAGCATCGATATGACAGTTACTGGTGCAAACAACTGAGCAAAAATGCATCTCTTCTAAAGGAAGAAGCATTTCATGTTTACTTTCGGCGTGAGAGAAAGCTCTTTAACTTCCCACAAGAGCTTAGCGACACAGGGCCAGAATTGGAGCAACAAAAATATCACAACACCAACAAACACGACTGACAGCTTTATTTATTTATTTATTTTGAAGTGTAAGTGAGCGCTGATGCTCTTGCCACCATTATAGGGAATCAACAGGGAATAGTGTGCTGGGAAAATAACAAGCAAAATAATTAAATATGTATTTCCAGAACCTGCTGTTTTCATTCTGAATATTCCAACTGTCTGTTATGCGTACTTGTAATATTGGAACCGTAGTGTTTTTTTTTTACTTTAATGGAATATTTTACTGCCAGTGTGGATATCCTGTGGATTCTACAGTGCTGTTCTACTTTTTATATTGCTCATATCTAGGCTTTCACTGTAGGAATTTTTCATGATTTCTGTCATTGTGTCTCTTTGTTACGTTCAGACACATCGTCTAATTAAGATGTTCTGCAGTGCACTGTAGATCAAAATCATCTATAACACTTTATTTTAAGGACCAATTCTCACTATTTACTAGTTGCTTATTAGCATACATATCACTATCATATTGGCTGTTTATTAGTACTCATAAAGCACATATTCTCATATTTTAGATCCCTTAACCCTACCCCATACCTAAACTTAAAATGTGCATGAAATCTAAATTTACACTATGTACTTTGTTAACGCACATCATTAGTCTTGAGGTGAACAATTAATCTGTGCAAGTTAATCCACTGAAAAAAAAAAGTCTTGGTAATCTGTAATCAAAATCTGAAAATTTGTTTCAGCTTTGGAACGGCATTCCTTTTCTGAGATGGAGAGGAGAAGCGGTAAAATAAAACCCTGTCATCTATAATCAATATTCCTTTTGAGTTCAGATGTATTTTAAGAAATATGTCACAATACTAAAGTAAATTCGGCAGCAACTTCTGGTTCACGCAGACTTTAACAACTACCTTACTATTTATTAATAAGCAGCAAATTAGGAGTTTATTGAGGCAAATAGTTGGTCCCCAAATTAAAAGTGTGACCAAATCATCAATGTTTACTTCATTTAGTGCAGTGATCTTTTCTCTCTGATAGGGAATTGTAACACATGACCTCTGACACAATCTTTATTTGTAGTATGAGCAATCAAAACAATAAAAATGTAATGTAAAAATGCATGTAACGATACTTGGTCTTTTGTTTGTGTGCTTGTTTTTGCCACACATATGGGGGTATGAAACACTTTTGAAATCCTAAAAGTTTGACAACTAATATTTATTTCGTTGTAAGGACTAGAAGAAGTGAGTTATAGAGATGGACAGTGATCTATGTTATGGAAAAATGAAATAATGACGAAATGTCACCTACAGGAAGGATCAACTAGCAGCATTCCCTCAACATAAAAGTTGATACTTTTTTTAGTCATTCATCACTAGTTGGCTTCTAATCGAACAGAAATGTCCGACAGTTGGACAGGAAGTGTGAAGGGTACCGGAGTGAAGGGGAATAGAAATAGGAGAGGATGTGATGAAAGTGAGGATGAGTCTAACCAGAGGGAGGATGGTCACCTCTCCTTCTTTTTTGAGCCTCATGCAGTTAAACACTCCTGACAGCCGCCATGAGCTACTCTAACAACAAGGAGCAGTGACGACAGTCGATGGGAAACATTTTTTTTTTTTTTTTTGCATAACAGCTGGACAGATACTGACTTAACTGGCAGATGCATATTGTAAATCAAATCAGATAAAAGCAGATATGACAATATATAAAGCTTACTATCTCACAGACAGGCACATGCAAAAAAATGTATGTATAAAAATGTACACTGCAAGAAAAAAATAGTTTTGTAACATATGACATCTGAATTAGTTTTTCTAGGTCTTGTTTGGATACAAAGAATGTAATTCTTTGAGCTAGGTAGATATGTGTGTATTGAGTATAGCTTTGGTAAGAATTTGTTTTTTTTTTTTGGATAATAGTAGGAGCATATACAGAGCCTCATGCAGTTAAACACTCCTGACAGCCGCCATGAGCTACTCTAACAACAAGGAGCAGTGACGACAGTCGATGGGAATGAATAGATACCATGACAAAAGATGCCACACAGCAGGCTTTGTTTTATGATGTAAAACCTGACAACATTCAACAGTTTAAAAACTCACATTTCCAATGAGCTCAAAAACACGCAAAAAGCTTTTTTTTTTTAAAGTAGGCCTACTGTTAATTTCCTTGTGCAAATGTTTTTTATTATTATTAGTAAATGTTGAGTGCACCTTTACCTCTGATGATGGATGGAGGATTTTGGCATAAAGAGTATGTGTGTGAATTTGTGTCTGAGCTTACACAATACACAT